ATCCAGGGGTATAAAGTCTTTACTCTTCAGAGGAGGAAACCAAGAGAAAAATAGAAGTCTGGGTGCCCTCCTGACCCCCGAAGGAATATGCCTTCTACTCCAGACTTGGACATGTAAGTTTCCTGGGGTTCACAATCTTGCCAAAATCTCTGCCTGGCCAAGCCCCTCAAAGCAGGCTAGGGGAGTCTGCAGGCATAGATAAGTGGACAATTGCTCTGCACCCCTGCATGTCTCCATCTCTCCACACACCTGTGAGGAGGGTTCTGTAACTTCTGGACATTAAGTATCAGGAGGGGCAGGACCCGTGGCTTCCTGTGTCTTCTCAGGACCTACCTTGTTGTTATCCCCAGAATGGGCATTTGGGAAGGGAATAGACATTGATGGGATGGAAGCTTTAGTTGCCTGAAACCTCGTGTAGGTCTACATGAGCAATTAGGAGCTGAAAAGTGTAGCATGCCTTGAACCCATCCCTTCCCTCACCCTAGAATGACAGACTTCACCATGACGAGGTGAAGGGGCTTCTGGAATCAGAAAGCTCAGGGGCTCTGTTCTCAGAGCCAGGAGAAGGCTGGCGAGAGCAGCTTCGGGAACAGTACCCTTGGTCATTCCCTGGCTGATCCTGAGTCACAGCCCAGGTGCAGCATCCTTACCGCAATCGCCTCACCCGCTGCAAACAGACCACGCTTTCTTCTGAACCATGCATTCCAGTTCAGCCCTCCCCGACTGACTCCTGGGGTCCTCACGGCACCCTGCTGTGCTCCTCTGCCAACCCTACCCACCCCTGCCTAGCTCCCAGGCTCCTGCTCTGCCATCACCACCTCCCACAACTGACCTTCTCTGCACCTGCTCCCCACTGAGAAGTCTGTATCACACCTTCCCCCTGACCTGGCCCTGAGCCTTTGGCTCAGGCTATAGAACACTGGCTTTCAGGCCCAGCTCTACACTAATCCGCTCACTTAGCCCTGGGCACAAACATATTGGGTCTTGTCACCCTGAGCATGCAACTTTGTTTCTCTGATCTGACACTCCCCTCTCTCTGTAACATGGGGGGGACCAGTGACGGCAAGGATCAAGATGTTAACACATGAAAATGAGCCCTAGCCACATGGCAGCTGCGGATCCCAGCTTACAGGCCGTGGACACTAAGACCTCGGCACATTCCGTTAGCCTGTTGCTCCTTAACCACTTCCCACCTCTTCATGTACCCGATGATTGCTCAGGCAGGGAGAGCCAAAGAAAAGGCTTCGGTTCACCAGGCTTCACCCCTCTTCCCTCTGAGAAGAGCTCCAGTGTGTGCAGCCCGAGGCGAATCCAGTCCAAACTGCAGCTCTTGAGCCTGCTAGCTGATGACCTGGACCTTTTCCCACCTGATGAGCATGCCCACAGCTATCATTCACAGATACTTCCTTGCAATGTAGTTTAGAAGCTGCATAGCAAAGGATGCATAATCAGCCCGACTCAGAATCCCACACATCAAAGCCCTCTCTTCCCTTCTTTTTACTATTTTTTGTGGCCCCCATACCAGGGTATTCCCAAACCACCCTTCCTCCTCACTGTGAACCATCCTGGCTTCTGCCTCTACAAGCAGAAAAGGAATCCAAGCTTTCTGAGGACTGAAGAGATGACGCCCAAGGTCTTCAGGCTCAGAGAAACAGAGACCAGATATTTGCCAACAGATCGGGGACTCAAAAATATGAACACACCAAATCTGCTCTAATTTTCTTTCAGCTCTGACAATTACTAGGAGCAGCGTACGCACATTTAAGTAGCTATCATGAGCAAGTCAGGGGGAGGAATTAACCTTATTTGCTGAGACACCAGTGTGGGAATTAGGGGAAGCATCATATTGGGAGGAGGGGGCAGCTACAGCCATGCTTGCCTTTGGAACTAAGAGACAGCTCCCTCCCACAGACTTTCTGCTGCGTCCTCCACCCCCTCCCCAGCCTACAGCACCAGCTGCACAGCCTGAGAACCAGGGAACAAAAAGCCCAGCCCAGGGAGTTCGGGGATGGGGATGGGGAAGGGAGAGAAGGTGTCAGTTGGAGAAGGTGTGAACCCGCCCTGCTGAGCTCTGGCCGGAGCCTGGTCAGTGCCCAGGGTTGCTGGTAGATGTGTAGTTTGAGAAGGAGGCCACAGATACCCAGCCTGGAAACATACGCTGCAGGCACCATGGGTTCGTCCAACAAGCGGAAGCCAGGTGACAGTTCAGAGCTGAGGACGCTGCATGTTCCTCTTGGATACCCTCTTCCAGGTTTGAAAAACAAAAATCAGTCTCAGGACTCAAGAAAGACAGTCCAGGAGTGATTTCCCCCACTGTCACCGTGCCCTCTGACAGACACTTTCTCTGTTGCCCTCGACACAAGCTACCTTTCCCCTGTCCAGCCCTTGCTGGAGGAACAGGGAGACCCATGTCCAAACAGCTCTACCAGCTACTCATAGCTAGTGATTTGCATTCGGAGTTCATAGTTTCCCTGGGGCTCACTGCTCTGCTGTGTTTTATATAGTGGGGTCATCCAGAGGTGACCTAGGCCATAGGTCTAGCAAATCATCCCTATGATCCTGAGGCCTCAGAGATGGAGATGGGCAGGATGATGGGTGACACTGAATATGGTGACAATGGTAATCACAAAGCAGTGACAGACTTCTGTGTGCAACATTTCCTATATGTGCACTCCTTATGTGCACGATGTCACTGAATCCACGTAGATGCTTTGCTTTATGGGTAATGAAGTGAATTCAGAGGGGCTTGGTCACTTGTCCAGAGTCACACAGCTGATGTGCTATCAGAGGAGGCTGTAGCCTAGGTCTTTGTAGACAGTAGAATCACTTCCTATATTAAACTGCCCCCTAGTGAGGTAGGAAGGAAAAGGGGCACCGGCTTGATTTTCAGGGGCACTGTCTCTTTGTATCCCCACGGCAAGTATTTTGGTAGAGGGAAGAAAAGGCAGGCGGGAAGATGGGGAGACTGGCTGTGATCTCCAGATGGAACCAGGGCTAGTGTAGGCTTAAGCCAGGAACACAAGCTAGATTTTTCCATGGGTGGGTCTTCCCTAGCGCCCCAGCAAGTCCTTCCCAAGATCCCAGCGGTCCAGTTTGCTCTCAGCAAAGGACAAGGGTCGTTGAAGTAGCCCTGGCACAGCAGCCACATCGAATATCCTACCCAAGCTTCTGTAATAAACAAATCAATAATGAAGAGAGGAGGCGCATTAGCCTTTGAACAGGTTCCAGAGAGAGCTTATTTTTGCTCTTACTCGAGGTGAACAAGTGTGTGCTTGAAGCCCGGGGGAGGCTCTGGGCAGTGACAGGGAGATGGTGAATATGGGGGTGGGAGGGAGCGAATTCAACACCTGTGGCCCATTGGGCCATGCACTGAGAGTGTTGGGAGCCTCCGGCCTTAGGACACTCTGCAAGTGTGGGGCAGGGCAGGTGAGCATGAGAGAGCAGGTATGGAGGAAGCTGTATACAAGGGCAGGGGCACCCACACGGGGCTGGGTGCACATTTGGAGGTGCAGGTCAGGGAGGAAGACGCAGGCCGAGAGGTGTACAAGAGGTGTGCAGGGTCAAGACAATGACCACTGGAGGTGTGATAGTCTTCATGGGCAACTTGTTTGGATTCGGAATCTTCTAGACGACAGGCCTCTGGGCATGTCTGCAGAAGCTTTGCTAAAGAGATATAACTGAGAGGGAAAGACGCACCCTGAATTTGGGCAGCACCATCCCATGGGCTGGCAGCCCAGAATTAATATGAATGAAAACAGGAGGAAGTCAGCAGAAACCAGCGTTCATCATATTCCACTTCTGGGCTGTGGACACAATGTGACCAGGCACCTCACCTGCCCACTGCCGTGTCTTCCCCACCATTGTGGACAGTACTGTCTCCATCCACGAACCAAAATAAAAATAAAGCATTAGTTATGTCCCAAGTTGCTTTTGTCAAGCATGTTATGACCGTAGAAAGAAAATTAACCAGCACAGGGGGGGGGGCAAGAGAAACACTTAGGAGAGGCTGTCAGGATCAGGGAATATTCATTTCCCTCCGCCAGACTGAATTAGAAGCTATGATTTTTAACCCATTAACTGATACAAGGATTACAGAACAGAACACTTAAACACCAACCCCACTTCCTTGACACCCACTTTTCTCATTCCCATCCCCACCCTCCACTTCCTTTTCAATTTCTAAGGACTGGCGGTTCCCAGGCCCGAGATGCCAAGAAGAGCCAAGAAAGTATTAAACCTTTCTAAGAGGTCAGTTTATTACAAGCCCTGCCTGCCCACACACATATCAAAAATAACAGGAATAATAATACTACATATCTCATAAGTATACAACAGTAACATTTCAAAGGCCTTAGAGATTAATCAAACCCTATGGTTCTCCGACTCTTCCAACCAGAAGCCTCCAATGGTCGAAAAGGACATAGGGGTTAGGGAGGGACGGCAGCGGCCATTAAACGTCTCTAAAGCTTCATATTTTCTTTTTTAGATGTATAAAAGTGTTTCCTTCCATTGTAAAATATGATCATTTTGTTTTGACCTAACTTAATGTTTTGAAACCTCTTCATGGGACAAAACAGGATCCCCTGAAAGCTGTAAGCCATGTTTAGGATCCCAGTGCCTTTGAAGAACTCTGGGAAACTGCCACACATTCCTCCGTGGAAACTGACCAATTTCTGAGTATGTTTAGTTCAAACTTCTCCTCCATCCCTGCCATTTTATAGGTAAACAATTAGGCCCAAGATGACTAAGTGATGTCCTGAAGGCCAGCTAGGGAGGACCAGAGCCAAAAAAACTTCTTTCTATTCCAGTATCCCTCCCACCTATTAAAAAGGAGAAGTAACAGAGTCTGGCTAGAGTTTTCAGAACCTCATGTCCCAAGCCCTCCCAGCTCCTCCCAGACCACACACCTCCCTCCTCAAATGGAAAGCCACCTCCTTTAAAAACAGCCTTATGACACGACAGGTTTTTATGACATCATCCCTCTAAGTATCTCTTTTCAAGGGAACACAAAATTCTCTAACACAACCTCGCCCAGGCCTTACAAGAATTTCCCCAGAATTCAGCAGAGTACAGCACTTTTGACTGTTGGTTGAATTTCTGTTTATCCTGCTTCTCTTCTAAATGGCTCTGCAGGTATGACTTATCCACGGCACAGCTGGGAATAATATGGGGGGGGACAGGGCTTTCTCGGGACCAGGTGACAAACTGAGATAAAACTGAAGTAGATGGGATCTCAGGTCATATCGTACTGTCTAAAGGATACCAGGTTTTGCCCCCCTGGCCTCTCCGGATTGAGCTTCTCCTCTCACACAGCGGGCTCTGCTAACTTGCCTGAACTGTGAGAAAGTATGTCTGGGCTGAACTGGGCAGGGGCTAGCCTGGCCTGGGCCAGGCTGCCCTGGGGTTGAGCGGGAGCTGGGGTTGGATGGGCAAAGGCTCGAAGTGTGTCCTGCTGAGCTCAGGAGCTTGAAAGGCTTCTAAAAATACCAAGCACGTTTCTTGGTGGGGGCAGGTTGGGGGGGGGGGCCTGATTCAGCTGACCTTTCCTAAGGATGGCCAATTTGCTGACTGCGTGCTGAGGACCAATGGGCAGAAAAGCTTCCCGTTTCCCATTTCCCGGCAGCTGACTCTGGAGCTGAACTGAGGCAGGACTGGAATATCCTTTCAGTTTCAGCAACTCTCCTCTCAGATGGACCCAGTGAGGACCAGAGGGGAATGTGTAACAGCCCAGGCAACTACAAAGGCCAGGTAGAACTCAGACTGGGGTGCTAGGAGTGTGGCTCAGTCGGTACGGTGCTTGCCTGGCATGCCTGAGACCCTGGGTTCCAACCTGCACTGTACAAATCAGGTGTGGTGGGTACTTCACTGTCATCCCTGCCCTTGGTCGATAGAGGATCAAACCTCAAGGTCATCCTTGACCACATAGTGAGTTCCAGGCCAACATGAGACCCTGTCTCAAAAATGAAGTGGGTTCTACTGACTCAGCATAGGAGACCAGAAGGTCATCACCTCTGATATGGAGAGACCTATTGTCACTGGGAACAGCCAAGAGGGTTGCAACCTTCTTCGTTCATTCATTCATTTCTTTCATTAATTCCTTCATCTGCTAGGCTCCTTATCCTGTGCCAGCCACCTTGGGTTAAGACCCTGGTGGCTAAGTCTGCTCTCATATGGGTGGCATTTTTCTTAACTATACCATAATCGGCTTTAGCTGGAAGTGTTAGCTCATTCCAGTAAACCATCTGGAGCACTAGGGAAGCTGAGGTTAGCCTGGGCTACATAGTGAGTTCCAGGCTGGCCTAAGCTGAAGTGCGAGAACCTTTCTGTAATTAATTAAACAGCTGGGATTAAGCTGGGCCATTCTGAAGGTTCCTCCCTTCTGAGACACCCAAGTTCGCCAGGCAATGGCTGCAATGGAGGACTACCTCGTCTGCATCCCGTGACACCACTTGGTTTCTTAGCCGACTCTCTTACCGCTAGCTTTGTTTAATGCAAGTCCACAGAAAGAAGAGGACAAGGGACAGCCCCCACTGTGTGTAGTCTCTCCCTGGAAGCCTGCCATCCTAGGAAGAAAACCCTGGGACCCACCTGCCTGCTAGTGTCTAGTTTCAAGCCAGGTGGACCAGGGGGGACACAGATGGCCACACATAGGCTCCATAGCAAATGCTGGCCCTTTCTCACACAGCGCTATGGCTCCCATCAGTCCCAGTCCATCACCCACCCTGGCTTTATGGAGCCTGTCTGCCGGACAGCTATCCGCCTAAGGGTGAAAACGAGGCCTGACAGTTACTGATTTATGCCCTTGTTATTCTGGAAGGGAGACACAGAAGCAATGTGAAAACCTAGCAGCATCCAAGGAGGCCCAGCAAGGGGCATCACACCACTAAGCCACCCCCTACTTCCTAGCCGAAGCTCTTGGCCTCCTCAGAAGTCCCAGAGACCCTCCTCTCACCCACAACTGAGAGGGGGAAAAGGAAAGGAAAGCCCAGAACAAAGACAGCTCAGTCCTCTATGCTGATGGGGACACAGTGCTAAGAGACTCCATTTCCTGTGTGGTGAGGTCCCTATTGTCACCCTTCTTTCCTAGGTGAAGAACAAGATCCCTGGAGAGGATTAGCTGCCTGCCTGAGGTTACACAGCAAGAAGGGTCTGTTGGAACTCAAAGTCTCACCTCTCCGATGGCCCAGGAGCAGTGAGACCCAGCAGAGGCAGGGTGGGGAGAGAAGGACCTCTGTTATCAGGTTTAAAAAGCAAGTTGGGGGATGGAGAGATAGTCCAGAGGGCAGAGCATTTGCCATGTGATATGGGGCCCTAAGTTTGATGCCCAGAACCCATGTAAAAGGCTAGACATGGTGATGCATGCTTGTAATCTCAGCTATGGGGAGGCAGGGACGATAGATCCCCCGGCTCATTGTCCAGGCAGCCAACCTAGCTCTAGGCTAATGGACAATTCTGGCTTAAAAAAAAAAAAAAAAAAGTGAGCCGGGCGGTGGTGGCGCATGCCTTTAATCCCAGCACTCGGGAGGCAGAGGCAGGCGGATCTCTGTGAGTTCGAGGCCAGCCTGGGCTA